ACAATTGAAATTAATCACGAAAGTACATATTTACATACCATTTCCCCAAAATGAATATAACTATTATATATCACAGTCTTACACTAACAAAATTTTAAAAATTAGAAATGAGGTTAAACATATCTAACACATAATGGCACAGGATAAGCATTTCCATTCCAAAAGTAAGGAATAGGGACATAGAAAGGAATCAAGACCAAAAACTGTCAGGGCAAACATTAGTCTTATAGATGCATGTCCAGCAAGTATGAAAGTTGGAGGCAAGAGGTGAGCTCCAAAGGGTTTGGGAAACTACCCTTATGGACAGTTGCAGTCCATATGACATCTTTGCTGGACTGGTTGTGCTCACTCTCTGTAAAACAAGCACCATGTAGATCATGCCAAGGTATGCCACAAGCTCCAGCAGTAGTCTGCCCTTCTTGGACCATCGCTGCAGTGAGTTCTGAGTGCCAGTGTGGTTCACCTTGGGGAAACACATTCCCAGGCAGCCCGGAGTGATCAAGGTGCCTTGGAACTCTCTTCTCAAAATAAGGTTTTTCAAAGGAATTTGTTTTTTCCATCCTTTAGCTTAGAGTGAGTGAGTCTGCCAATTCCTAAGATGTCACCAAGGTATCTTTCTTATGATTCTGGTAGGAATGAATTAATATTCTTGTCAACCACTCTTATTTGGCTTCAACTTTACACATATCTCCTTTCTGCACAAATTTCAAATATTTAGCTCAGATTTCAAATATTTAGATCACAATCTGATTGAAAGCAGGCAACAATATCTATGCCATAGCCTGAACATTGGGTTGTCTTGAAATTTCCTCCATTAGTCTGCCATCTTTAAATTCAACCTTCCACAAAGTCTTAGAACATCTATGACCAAAATGTGTAGAAGTTCTTTGCCAGAATATAGCATTCATGGCCTCTAATCCAATTTTCATTAGAGTACATATTTCCATTTGCTCACTGCTCTCTATTTCTCCAAACATGCACAGGAGGCCATGTTTGGTGAAAAAGAAAAGGATTTAGTCAAAGCTACCTCTGGGCGGATGGAGAGACCTCAGGCTGACACAGATCACCTCACTGTCTCCATGTGTGTAGGTGTCTTACATAGTAAGGGGGAGAGGGGAGAAAGGATACAGTAAGCCAGCAGATAACTGTAGACGTGCTTCATCTTTTCAGTCATTTTCCTCTCCCCCCCTTCTCTGTACAAAGCAAACTGGACCTCAATTTCTTGGTACCAGCATCTGCATAGTATGTTGATCTGGGCTGAAGAGAGGAAGGGATGAGAGTTTATGCCCTACACATGAGGAAAATAGGAGAAGTCACTTGCTTCTAAAGAAAAAAGCCCGGATTTTACAGTCTGCATTTCCATCAGCCTTCCGATTTTCTGAGCACCTATCAGAGTTATCCAGCAATCTCTGTTTACAGTATTCTAAGGCTTCTCTAGCCAGTATCTCAAATGTTTTCAAGTTCTCCCCACAAGCCAGTTCTGAAAGTTTTCTAACCATATGTTCAGGTATAGCCACAGCAACTTCTCTCCATCTGCACAATTTTTTGTATTAATCACTTTCACATTGCTGAGGTCAAATATCTGACACACACATTTCAAAGAGGAAGAGGTTCATTTCACTCTGTTTCAATGGGTTCAGTCAATGGTGGATGACTCCATGATAGAAAGGCCTGGTGGAAGAAAACTGCTCACTTTATGGCAACCAGGAAGCACAGAGAGAGGAGGGACCAGGACAAGAATATATCCTTCCAGGTTACACCCACAGTGACCCACTCTAATAGCACATTTGGCTATGAATTCATCAGTGGATAAAAGATGTTTCTGTGATTTAATCACCCTCAGAAAGCACCGTCTCTAAACACAAGACTTTTGGGGACATTTTGAATCCATACCATAATACTGACTGATGGTATTTTAATTGTGATAGAAAGGGACTTGGTTGTGGCAGGGTTCAGACATACTACCCAAAAATATGTCATCTTGGCATTTGAGAAAATGGCAGTAGGAAAATCTCTTTTGTCAGCACTTCACTCTTTTCCTGTGACACAGGCAGGACATCTGTATTCCAGAAGTTGCTCCCCTATACCCCACAAGAAGCATCCTTACCCCATAAAGGCACAGACTCAGAAGAATCTCAGTGAACAGACCTTGCTCCATGCCCTTTCTTTGTCATCCTGAGCTCATATTTCTCCTTGTCAATTCCCATTACTGTTCAGTCTATATTCAACCTGGACATAAAAACACACAGGGTTCCACACTTCCTTTGTGAAGCATCCTATGTCTTATAAAGCTCATGTCAAATAAATTTGTGCACTTTTGTCTTAAGCTGTCTTTTGGTACAAGCGCATTAGCCTAGACCTAGAAATGCGCAAAGAAACAAACTGTTTCTCCCCTATAGCTACTTCCTGAAAACTTGATTGGTTCATCAATACTTATTGCAACTATTTTAACAGCAAGATGTACTATATGGATAGAATAAAGTAGCTTAAATGTTCAGGATTTATTTATCTTTTAACTAATCCAAAATAGATAAGATATTGCAAAAGCAGCAACTAGAGATAATTTATCTCTAGTTTTCTAAAACAGAACAGATTAAGAAGCATAGTTCTGATAATACAATGAGAGTTTAAAGTGAAAAAAATCTTTCTACATCCTTTTACAAAAATAATAGTGTTTTTTTGGAAAGTACTTTTTTACTCTTTGTTCGTCATATTACGACCATATAATGGCTTTGATTTTTTTAGACCTACACATTACAGAAGCTCAAAGAAATCTGTACATGACACAAAGAACTGCAAAAGTTTAATAAAGTTTCATGCTGAAATTAAAGAAGACCAAAATCCTACAGTACATTTTTAAGGTTGGAAAATATCTTTAAAAAGATCACATTTTTAAATAAAGAAACTGACATCAAAGGAGGTTAACTTGAGGTAGCAAAATGAGATATAGAGTCATGCAGCCCACTGTGGACAATTTTGTTATTGTTATTTATTTGATTAAATAGCCTCAAAATTTCAAAAAAGGAAATTGATTCACATAAACAGGAATTTGCAAATGACATTCAAAGGCTACCTTCAATGACTATAATTTCACTTACTATAGTCAAATCATATTTAAACATTTCCTAGTAAGCATTTAAATGTTTTTTAAAAATATATCAGAATAAAAATATTCTCTAAGCAATGTTTTCCAAATGTCTATCTTTTTTAAAAGTATTGCTTTCTGGATGAAATTTCTTACTGCCAAAACTTAGTGCAAATATTTGATAATGTTTCTTCTTATTTGAATCTCATATGCTATCATCAAACAAAGTCCAGTTGAAAAATTGCACATCCAAAAGATGAGTTTTATCAGTATAAGATTAAATTTACTAAAGTATTTTCCCATGCTCCTCAAAACCTTATGTTGTGTGAAGGTAGCAATCTACTCACTGAGAATGTTAATGGGCTTAAATATAACTGAAAAAGACGGATATCTTTGATCTTAGAGCACTAAAACCCCTGTGATTTTATATAAACACATATCATTCTTTTGTTATAACTGATAAAACAAAAAGAAAAATAATCTTTAAAGTCATTCATTGCTAACATTACATAATAAAAGACTAAATTTACTATTTAAAATATCATAATAGTCACCAAATTTCTCACAAGATATTTCCAAGCATATTTATGGCAAAATAATGACAATGACAATTGGAATAAAAAAATTTTTTTCTTCCAAGAGACTTTATATCAATCTTTAGATATTTGTAAAAGTACAAAGGAGAAATATAAATGACAATTCACTTTATTGAACATTTTAATATTTAATACTTTACTTTTCAGAATAAAACTGTAAAATACCAGCAGAGGAATTTTTCATGTTAGATTCTATGAAATTTAAAGTAAATCATTTATTGTGGAAAACTAAACAATGAGTTTTTTATCAGCTAAGTATTTGAAGTTAATATTTATGGGAACAGAGTTTTTAATAATTTCATTGAATTGTTTAAATAAAGAAATAAAATAGATGTTTTATAATGTATTATTGAATAAAAATATTAAAATGCTATTTTTAAACTTAAATGATGTTATGGTTTGTGTCTGGATGTCTGCCCAGAGCATCATGCAGTCATGGGGTGGACTTTTAGAGTTTATGATTGATTCATTGTCCAGTGTTGGAATTACGGATGTGAGTGCTACACCTGCCCTGGGGCAGGTAGTTTGCATGCAATGTAAGGGAGGGAAAGAGGCTTCTTCCCACTCCTCCCTTTTGCTCTTGTTGCTTTTGCTATCTTCCTCCACCATGAACGGTTGCCTTCTGCCATGCGCCACTCTGCGTTGCAGCCAGCCAAGTATGGACTGAAACCTCCACAGACTGTAAACTAAATACACCTTTTCTTCCTTAATTTTGGGTGTCAGGTACTTTGTCTCAGTAAGGAGAGAAAAGTAACCAAGACATATGATTTCTTTAAATTAGCATTTAATTGGCATTCTAATATTATGTGAAATTAAAAAATAGTTATTACAAAAGAATTCACTTTCTTAACTGTGATTTATCCTAGTAAATTTTATTACAAGGTAAGTTACTTGATTTTTCTGAGATTATAGTGATTTTAAAACTGAAACTATCATATCTTGAGAGACACCTCCATCCAGGGTAAACTGAGAAGGTTCATTATTACCCTCATCACAGTTTAAATACTCATTGCCATAATTACACATAGTACAAAGTAAGACCAGGAAGACTATTAATGTGATGGCCAAATTCATGACAAAGGAAGCAAAGTGGATTTTATTATGTCACTTAAAAAATTGTAATATGAATGGCTTTGGATGTAGCTCAATGGTCGAGCCATTTCTAGCATGTAGGAGGCCCTGGCTTTGATTTCCTGCATTCTCATCCCATCCCGAAAGAGGATTATGTTTCTGTAAGGTTTGCTAAAACAAAACAAACTTGCTACTTAACACTTACAGATTCTAACAATGATCAAAATCTACCTTACTAAGATACTTACTTCTGTAAAAATTCTTCAGAGCCACATATATTGAGAAGATGATCGCTGGGGCAGAGTTGGTCACTTGTACATAAATGTAGAATTTCTGCAATTAAGTCTTTGACAAGATAATTAGCTAAAAACAAACATAAATAACAAGAGTCAAAAGGGGTTGTCACATACTGGCTGGGAAACTTTTTAAGCACAGAGAATGATAATGAGCACATTACGAAGTGTTGTAACTGCCTAGCTCCATCAGGAGGAATTAAAATGAGAGACACCAAACATATCAGTCTGGTTAGATTTCAAGATATTTTTGAAAAATGTCATTTGCAATTCTTTTGATTAGTTCTGTTTCCATAAAATATAATAAAGCTAGGGCATTGTGTTCCTCATGTTCAAATCCTTTGCACTTTGTAGCACTGCATAAAAGATAATCTGCTGCAAGGATGTAGACAAATCTATAACAATTAACATTTCATTATCAATGTTCTGCTGTTAAGACCTGAAAATAATTATAGATATCATCCCTTTTTGAGTGGTGTGCATGGACAAGTTATTTCCCCTTTTAGATCCAACTTCTTTATATGTTTAAAAGTTTGTAGTAACATGGTTTTCCATCCTTCAGGAATTTGATGTAAGAGTGACATAAACAGTGGACAAATGTGACCAATATATTAAAGGTGTTATGTCTACATTTTGAGTGTGAGCTTATGGTCTCAGTCAATGAAAGTAAGTTCAACAGACTGGACTGATGATCACCATCCAACAAGAAATTTGGGTAGCACAATCCACATGCTCAATTGCCTTTCACTTAGTTCAGTTTTGTCTACAACTATATGTTCATTTTTCCATTTTTTCTTTAGATGGCATCTTGTTTGGAGAGAAAGGATTTTGAGTCAAACTGGCTAACAAAAACTGCTGCAAGTGATATCACTGCCACAAAAAGAAGGGGAAGTGTATCATGCTGAATTTAAAATGTAGGTCTTAGAGCAGATCAAGAGATCATCAAACAAGGGGTTGTGGAAAAAGTAGTAAAAATAATCAAGAAATAATGATTGCATAAATGCTTTGACATGACAGAGAGAGTTATTTTAAACTTTTTACATCTTGGTAATACTGACTAAAATTATATGAATTGAAGCTAGATGAAGATATGACTACAGGCAAAATCATGACTATGAGATCTTTAACTAGCAAGGGAGAGGATTTCCAGAGTATGATTGCAAATATACATGAATTGATGGCTTAACAAGCTACTTTAACTCTCCTATCTCCAGTACTATCCTATATAGATCATCCTGGTGCTATATAGGAAATGCGTGAATTATTCCTTTGTTACAATTATCTTTCTAAGGGGCTGGGGATTTAGTTCAGCGGCAAAGCACCTGCCTGGCAAGCACAAGGTTGTGAGTTCGGTTCCCGGTACCGGAGAAAAACCAAAAAACCAAAAAAAAAAAAAAAAACCCCAAAAAACCAAAACAATTATTTTTCTGTTTTATGTGACATTCCTACTTTTCCTCTTCATGCTTTAATTTTATGGGGGGAGTGGTGTGATCCCTTTCTTCCCTATTGTAAGATTCATAATTGACACCCTTATAACAGAAGACAGGATAGCAAGACAAAAACCATAACAGAACTATTTAACTTACATTTTATATGACACAAGAGCCTTCAGAAATAAAAAACTGAAGAAAAGCCAAGAAAAACCAAGTACATTTTTATGCTTAGATGAAAAATGGCTGCTAGGTGGAGATGCTACTGGCTAGCAAAGGTCTGACCTAAGTAATTGAATGAGGAAACACAGCAAGGCCTGTGTGTTTGGATTTTTCTTTTACTTCTCTTTGTAGCCTTCTATCCTCTTGGGATGGGGAAGAATCTCTTTCAAATGAAGCTTTCAGATTTGCTGTCAGACAAAGTAGGTTATAGGATTTCTTTATGAACAGCTCTCATACAGAAGGGAAGAGGAAGTTTAGCGTAATATGTCTAGGTTTTATGTCTGGATTTGGGGGAGCAGGGAAGCTTATCTTGGAAGACAAACAGCCGAAGAAGGGCAGGAGAAGGTCAGAAAGAGACTCTGCTTCTGAGGTCTTTCTAGTGTTCTTGAGATCATGCTAAAGTGTTGTCCTTGGGAAAACTATTTTCTGAACTCCAACAGTTTGACATCTCTTACTACCTGTTACTTGGTATTCTTTGATGTCTCCTTATTACTTCAAATTCAGCCCGTCTCAAGAGGAAATCACTGTCTTTCTCCTTGAAGGTGACCGTTAAGTCCGTGAGTAAAACTTCTCACCCACATTGTGTGCCAACAAGTACTGGGGTCTGTTTTAAGTAGACTTTATACCTCTGCTTTTATTTTGATCATTGGTACTGAGAAGGCTAAGACTCATTTGCTATTCTACGCCTCACATCTACTTTCTACTCCTCCTCCATTCTTTCACATTTTAGGGTGTACGAGTTTCCCTACTTCTTTACTAAATCTTACTTCTTCATCTATGATCGTCATTCTTATACTGGGTTCTAATTCCATCAGTCAACTTCCTTTCTTATTACATTTTAAATATCCTCTACTTTAAAGATATTTTCGTTTAAATATCATCTGTTCTGTTTACCCTTTGCTCAGAATCTCCTCTTAACCATTCCACTCCTTTACACTATTCCTGCTTTTACATTTTCTTTACCTCTAAACATTAAAGAAAAGACTTCTGCTAACACTTTTCAATTCTTTCAAGTTGACTTCTACTCCCAAAGGAGTAGAAGATTTCAAAGGACTTCCAAATAGACTTTAACTGTGGGTCGTCTACATCTAGAAGGTAGTGGAAAGTAAAGACACTGGATCTAGGGATAATTTGAATCAAAATCCTGAATCAAAAAAAGACTTATTGGGATTCCTGGTTTATGCCTGTAATCCCAGCACTCGGGAGGCTGAGGCAGGAGGATTGCTGTGAGTTCCTGGCTGGCCTGGGATACATAAGATGTTTAAAGCCAGCCTGTGTCCTGTCTTACAAAAAGAAGAAGGAAAGAAAAGAAGAGAAATGAAAAGAAGAAAAGAAAAGGACTTCATCTTCATTGAAATGTTAGTTGAAGATTATGAAGCAGAGTATTGTTTTAAAAAAAAAAAACCTGTTTTCCCCACAGTACTCCATTCTGTAACCCTTTCAGAGTTTTCTGTGAATGAAAACCCTTCACCTATACTGTTGATCAAGATTTCATTGTTTCTTAGTTTCCAGGACAGCTTTATCATTCACTGAAGTCACTGGTCATACCGCCTATGTACTTTTCTTCTTTGGTAAGCATTTGGAATACTAGTAAACTGCTGATGTAGATTCACAAAACATCATGATTTTGGTGTAAAGACAAAAGTGAAAACATTTGAAATATTATGTGGATTGCCCTTATCTGACTAAAGCAATGCATTTCAAAACTAAAACTGCCATTGACTCTCTGGTGAGGGAATTTTCTGGAAATTCCAGGAAGGAGACAGATTGCCTATTCCATTAGAATGAAAAATCCAATAGAACCTTTTATAGTTCCTACCAGAGTCCTAAAACTCCTTTTTTGGTTAATTGCTATAGAAATACTTATCTCCGGATATTCACTTACTCATTATTGAATGATTGGCTTATACATGTAAACATATTCTTTTTATTTCTCTCTTAATTTGTCTACTGTCAGTTAATTCAAAGACCCTTTCTCCACCCTCAACCATTCAAATCTAAGTGAGTAAAGGAAAAGTTTTTCTGAAAACCGTGACAAATGCTACCCTGTATGTTTTCACGAATGTCTTTTTCCTTCTCTGTATCATCTACCTCCATTTGGTTTCCTCTTGCTTTTCTTTGTATTTAACATCTTTAGGGCATGAGCATCCTCTCCACCACTTTGCAACTCTAATACTAAACACAATGGCCTAATCACTTTACTGAAACTTCTCAGGTAACAATATGTAATGTAACAACCATTACTGACTTCCTGTCACCTTCTCTTGAAATTCTGTATCGTTTGCATTGTTTTTATGTTATTTGGTTTTTGTCTTGGTTATTATTTTGTTTTCTTTTCTTTTTAAAATAAAAAAAAGGTAAAAAATTGCCCCAGTAAGCAGTGATCTCCCTTGTTCATATTATTCCCTCTCTGGCAGCTGAAGCCAACATGACCCAGATCTGTGATCACACTGCTTAGATCAGGGTGCAACATTAGCAATTTTGGCTGGGCAGTTGGAACCCCGCATTTAGAAGTTAGGATTTGGGGCCAGAGAAACTTAATTGGCCTTCGATGGCTGGCCAAATAGCACATATGCTTGTGAGGTTGGGTACTTGTTTTGGAGAAGCAAGAGAATGAATTAGCAGAGAGCAAGAAAGAAAGATATGGGAAACGATTACACCCAGAGATGAACTCAGGGGCATAAAGAAACTTGGGGGTGCTTTATAATTTATTTTTAGAATCTTCCTGAATCTTTGATGAATTCGGACTCTCAAATTCTATAAGAAATCCATTTCTACATTTTGAAAAATGTTTTCTTTCTGCTTAAGGCACTGGAGTTGGTTTCTGTTTGTTTCATATCAGGTAGTCCTTACTAATTGACCAATAGAGTCTTGTTGTTTGTAGTCATTTGTACTTACTTCAGATCCTCGAAGAAAGAAAAACATAACAATAAATAATAATTAATGAACTATTGGGTCGTGTGTCAGGAAACAGTTTCCTGTTGTTATATAAAAACTCAATAGTACTTAAATGTTGTTTCAAGGACTAATATTATTTTGCAAAATAGCAGACTCTTAACAGTGCAATAAGATACCAAATTGCTATAAAGATGTTCTAAAACTATAGAAAAGTAAAAATCATCTGGTGAGTGTGATAAAATGTAAATTTCTGGGATCCATCCCTGGAGACTGTTATCCACTAGACCTGCTAATTCTCACAAGGTTGAGCTGCACAGAGCTGGTGGAATTCTTACTATGACAATAGGGATTAGTGTGACAGTGTCTATTCTGTATGATGATTCATTCATATTTGGATGAAATAATTATTCTTAATAGATAGGAATCACCATCATCACTTATACTTCATTTTTATTTAGAGTCTTTTTGAAATTTCTTTTTAAAAAATATGTGGAAAACTTGCTACACTTACTAGTAAGAATTGGGAGCAGGAATATAATTTTGTGGAGAGAGTTATTGAAGACAACTGCTCCCCCTAGCTAACCTCCTATGTTAGCAAATGGTTCCCAACTGTTCTGCTTTTATTTTACTTTGAGGCAAAATAATATAGAACAGTGCCTCTTTGAAGGAGTTCAGTCTCCTTTCAAGGTTATGTATCAACACCCGCTTCATGAAGATTTTTATATTTTCTTAAGTTTGCTTACCATATGGCGTAAGATGAATTAGTTGTGCTGAATTATCAGTCATAATACTGAGGTTGACCTTGCTCTTAGAAAAGAGCTGAACTGGAAATGTAGTGACGGGGCTCCAGATCCTTCCAGAATTGAAATTAATGTCAGCTGCATGATATGCTTCTCTTATTCTGAAAAGTATATGGGAGAAAACACTTAGGACAAGAGCTGCATCTTTTAATTTGAAAAATATCACCCACAATATAATTGTAAGAGAATTCTGCAGTGTTTAGCTTCAGAAGATTTAAAACACGAAAATAGCCAATTACTGATTTGAAGTACTATCCATTCATTTAGGCCAGATTGGTAGAGATTACACTGAGACCAAGAACAAATGTAAAGGAGTGGTCTTTAGGCTTTCCCAGAAGCACCTCATTCTGGAGTAATTAAGAGTTGATTTCCACAGATATAATGTTACTGCACTCTGGGGTGCTGGGGTCTCCTTTTAGGGGTGACTTTTAGTTTCTTTCTGTCCAGAACAAAGACGAGTGAAACAAGCATAAATGGTGGTAAAATTTTACATTTATGAAAAGTAGGGGCCAAAAAAACAGGCTCTGTAGAGCAAGTTTGGGCCAAATAATGGTAGGAAAATGGAGAAAAATAATACACCCTAGAGGGTATGTGGGCTCCTATGACGACACTACAGCAAGAGTTTAATGGCTACTTCTCTTTTTATATCTCCCATGCTGGAGTCACATCCGGGTCATCCTATCATCCTATCAGAAACCCGCCGAGTTCTCGTGAGAAGTTAACATACAGGGCTTTGTGACTAAGTGGTTCTGCACAGAAACCTCCTTTTCCACCCACTTTTAAGGCACACCCTATGTTCCTGCCTTAATAAAGCACAAGAATTCACTCTGAACATTATTACTTGCTTCATATCTTTTGCTTTTGATGCCTGACTCTCTCCTCTCAGATTTTTCTCAGGCATATGTTTTTCAAGCTGCGAATCACTAAATTTGATTTAGAAGTAATGATAAATAAATTCTCTTGTTTGGGTTAGAGTTATAAACACTATTTTTGGTCCTCTGTATTTTTGAAAATTTTGTATTTTATACAAACAGCTAAGCGTAGAAATCATGAGTACATTCTGAACAATGACTGACTGCATAAATGGGTCAAAGAATTCCAAGAGTCTATCCCTGCAGCGAGAGCCTTGAGTGTGAATACTTGAGTTTCTACTGAGTAATGTTATGACCAGAGGCAAATTATTTCACTAGTTTCTTTGCACAAAAAAGGGTATTATTATCTGTTTCAAAGATTTGTATAAAAGATTTGCAGAAAAGCAATATAAAGCATCATAGTTATCATCATCTGTCACCATAGCTTGATTTATTTTATGCCAACATGTAGAATATTTGCAAGTAGTTATTTAAAATGCTTTTGATGAGGAAAATGGAATCTTGAGTTCTTTCGGCATTAATTACATTGACATTTAAATTCTTTCCAACTTAAAAATGTTACTTTCTATATTGATACATTGCTTCCTTAGCATCCACCTTATTCTATTTGTGTAAAGCTAAAGTAGTGCCAGCCCTTGAAGTTGCTCAAACGCTACACTCTTTAGATTCCATGGAAATGTCCTATCTATGAGGAGCTTCTGGATCTGAAATATATCACATGGATCTGAAATATATCCATGTCACCTTTTCTGGGTTCCATCCCTGTAGCTTCACATTTAGTGCACCTACAGAAGACCCCCAAACTTGTCATTATAGTAATTTCTCAAGTAAGCTGCTGCTACTGCTGCACTGACCCTGCAGTTTGAGAAGCACTGCTCAGGACAAAGCTGTGGACCACTCTTCCTGTTGCACCTACCACAAAAGTACAGATGGAAGTATTGGATAGAGGTGGAGATGCTTTATGATTTAGCACTCACCATATGATATTATTCAATGCATACATGACTTCAGATTTTAACCTTTTAGGGAACTAAATTTTCAAATGCAAATTCATGATTCATTCTTCCCTAAATCTATGCTGACATCTAATATAGATCAGGAATTTCTTCCATATGCTATGGCCTTTCTTTATATTTTTTATTAGAATGAGGTATATTTCCTGAAAGATGCACCTTTAAAGTATGTCACAGCAAGAGACCAAACCCAACTAGTTAACGAAGCTCTTTAATGGAGGTCTAAAAGAGATGCTAATAACGTACTGAAGTGTACTTATTTAAATATTATAAAAATACACAGAAAAATAAATCTGCTTTATGATGGCACTTCAGAAATTTTGGAGAAACTCATGTGAAACTTGGCTTTCAAATTAAGTTTGATCTTCTATTGTGTAAATACTTTATGGGTAAAATAATTATGCATATATATATTTCAATCATTTTATGAATGAATATTTTTCAACAAAATTTATTGCAAATCAAGCAAAGTACATGTGAATATGATATGCAGCTCCTTGTTACTACTTCAAATACTGTTTGGTTGTTTGTTTTAGTGTTCATGGTTATTTAAAAGTAAACCACTGAGAAAAGGTACATTTAAGAGTTTGGTTGAGAGGCTGAGGCAAAAGGATCACCATGAGTTTGAGGCCAGCCTGGTTTACATAGTGGGATCCAGATCAGCCTGAACTACACAATGAGACCCTGTCTCAAAAAAGAAAGTTTTGAAATACACCATAAGCTACTAACAAAACATTACATAAAATATTTTCATGTCCCTACTGCATTTATGATGTTTCACTTAAGAATATAATTTTTTTTTTTTTAAATTTTGCTGGAGGAGCTCATAATCAGGATAAGTAGATTTCTACTAAGGCGTGGTATCTCCCAACATTAAGAAAGTTATTTCTCATTCTTAACAGGTAGAAATTGCTGCAATAAAGTGGGAAATTTCTAACAATGTTTGTCATTTTATTACAGTGAGCAGCTTATTCCTAGAAGAACTGATATTGATAAATTTGAAGATTCCAATTTAGGAGTCCATTTGATAACTTTGAAGATTCTAATTTAGGAATCCAAAGTACCACTTAAAATTTTCTTCTGTAATCCTAAGCAAGACAGTAAAGACTGAATGTTTTCATGGATTTGAGATGATTTGTTTTGTATTTTTCTGTGCTTGTCCTTATTCTTAGGATCATAGTTATAAGTCTTTTGAAGCAGAGATCTTGATTTTTATTTTTTGTTTGTTTTCAATCTGGATATCTCTCATTCACAAAGTAGTTGTTAGACACAGAAATAGCCTTTAAGTTAATGATGGAATAATTTACTCAAATTTTTAATGATTATTAATAAGATAAGGCTTATAAATAAATGTATATTTATTATATTCAGAATAATGACTATCAGTGGATAAAAGGCAAGAAGACAAAATGTAAATGCATTAAATTTTCAAAAATTTCTCATCTAGTAACAGCATAGATGGCATTGTATAAATTTTAATTGCTAATGAGAAATTAGTATTTTAGAAAGCATCTATTGTACTTTTATACCATAGATTAGTGTTTAGGTCAGCAAAAAGATCAATGTTTTTTTTGTAATATCTTCCAGTGATCAAATTTGTTTTTTAATGGAAGCACATGTAGTGACAAACTGTTTAAGATAAAATTCAGTTAGTAAGAAGGAGACATTCACATGATTCTAAATTGAATGTCCTAGGTAGAAAGGGTAATCTGTGTTAAATTGGGACAGAGCCAGAAAAATCAGTGCTTATGGTTTTACATGAAAAATTAATTCACTACCAACTGAATTACCAGCAAAAAACAAAGGCAGCTCTGAAACTATAAAACATTCAACTTTAATCAAATTTTTAAGAGAAAAATATCTACTTGACTATAGACATCAAAAACAATAGCACAAGTTGATTGATATACTAATTTGTCAATTTTTTTCTTGCTGTATTCACAAGTTATAGGACTTTGACATTTTATAGGCAAAGTTAATCAGTTGAGTGGTATAGCAATAGAGAAATTTATTCAAGCTTCAATGAAAGAACAACACTCACTTTTCCACTTTGCCACAAAAGGAGGCCAGACTAGCATTACTGCCTTGAGGTACTTCAATGATTTGAATGGAGCAACCTATTGGCTTAAAATAAAAATGGCTACATTAATACGGTTCACTATAAAGAACAGATTAATACAATTCTACAACATCTATACTGTTTTAAAGATTTTTTTGACTTGCTATTGAAGTAATACATACAGAAAAATGCCTCTAACATAAATCTAAAATCTGAGTTTGAGAAATGCTTGCAACTGTGATACCAGCACCACAATGAAAACGTAAAATATTTTATCACTTTAAAAATTCCCTCACATCTCCTTCTATTTGATTCACAACCTACTTGGTGATCAATTCAGATTTCTATCACCACAGTGTAAGTGTATATACGCTTTTGATTTTGGCTTCTGTTACTTAGATAATATATATTTCCAAAGTTTACTCATACTGTCATGCATACAAGTATTTCATCATTTTTATTAAGGGTTAAGAACATTCTCTTCTGTTACTATTCCATAATTTGAATGGACATCTTTTTTTCTTTTTGATTTTTTGAGACAGATTCTTGCTCTGTAGTCCAGGCTAGCCTTGAACTCACTAGGTAGTCCAGGCTGGCCTGGAACTTGAGGTGCTCCCCCTGCCTCAACCTCCCTAGTACTAAGATTACAGGCATGTGCTACCACGCCTGGTTGACATTTTCCTATTGATGGACATTTGGATTATTTTTAGCTTTGGGATGTTGTAAGGAAAATGATTAACTTTTATAATAAGTAACCGTGTGGACGTTTGCCTCATTTTTTCGAATTAATGCATAAATAATTCAGTGTAAATAGATGTTTGGTATTAAAAGAGTTAATTTTTGCCTTGTTATTTTGAAGCTGTGTTATTAGGTATATATGGATTTAAATTTATTATGCCTTCCTGATTACCCTTTTCATCATTACAAAATGACTTTTTTTCTCTAACAATACTGTATTTTGAACTATGCTTTTGCTGATATTAAGTACCACACAAGCTTTTTTATTTCTGGGTGAATTTTAAACCCTTTTGTTTCTTTTGCTTTCAATCTATCTATGTAGTTTTTCTCCTCAGAGTTTTTTTATTTTTTATTTTTTAGTCTAGTTAGCCACTTTCTGTTTCTGATTTGGAAAGGTTAATCTATTAATTCTTAATATTTTTACAGAGGCTGTTGTATTTCAGACTACCATATTTATATCTACTTGTACTTGTCTATTCTATTTTATTTATTCTATTTCTCCTGAATTTTTCAGTTGATTTGAATTTTTCCTATTTCATTTAATTGCTTTGATGAATTTTTAGATTTTCTCATTTGTATTGTTTTTTAGTGTTTATGCTAGGTCTAGGAATTATAACATGCAACTTTAAAATATGTCAGTTCATTTAGCATTACTACTATAGTATTGCATTTAAAATGCAAGAATTTGCAACACAAAATATATACCTTTTTCATGATTTCCTGCTATTGTCATGTATTCTGCATATATAATAAATCCCCAAATGATATTCTGTGATTTCATTTAGTCACCTGTCTTTTAAAAATTAAAGGTAGCTTTTGTATTTTCAGCATACTTACTGTTTCTATGGCTCTTCACACCTTCCTAAATCTTATCTAGTATCATTTTCCCTGTACCTGAAACATTTACTTTGGTACTATTTCTTTGTGGGCATGTTAGCTGACTAATTTCTTTCAATGTTCTGGGTATGTCTTTATTTTATTTTCAGTTTTGAAACAGATATTCAAAGGATATAAAAGCAACCTTTATGACTCTTAAAGTATTCCTTATTAAGATCATTAAAAGTGCAGAAATAACTTTCTAATATAAAGGCACAGGGAGACAATTCTGATAAAATAGTAAAATTAAACAGTAACTTACAGTACCAAATACAATTTTAATACACATATAAACCCCAAATGTCAGGTTTAAAAATATTTTACTGGGTCTTTTAAGGGGCAGTGGTTAAAAATATAAATTGCTGCTGCACAATAAATGTCTAACAGTAAACATCTTGGCAGCAAAGTGAACAAAATGCTTAATGCTTTTCACATATATATTTTCACATAATATTAAATTCCTAAATCTTTTACTATCTTCTGAATCTTTTTAAGAAATTCCATATAATCTCATGGGGGAAAGGGTAGTTATTAAAAACTAATTTAAGTAGCAATCACTGCTGGCTGAGGTTTTTCATTTCCTATTCTGTAATCACAATTATAATCACACTTCCAAAAGGTAACACAGATGTTAGCTGAACCATAGACAAGTCCTTCTTGACTGGCAATCTAAGGCTTGTAAGGAATACTTATCAAACACAAAGGATGTCTCATTTTGAAATTATGTATTCTGCTTATAGTTTTGAGTTAACAGGTGAATACTGAACAAATGATTTTCTTTCTACTCCTTCCGAAGACTTTCCAAAGTTGTAAAAAAAAGTCAAACTTAGCTCTTTAAGAGAACTTAAAAATGTAATTCCATTGTCTATTTTTTCCATGATTTATGATGAGAAGTTGCTTTCATTTGGATTATAATTCAAATATTTGAAATCTTTTGCACTTGTCTGCCTATAAGATTTTTTCTTTCTTTTTGATTTTTAAATATTTGAGTATATAATGTGTCTACATGTGGTTGACATTGTATTGATTATCTCAACCAACTTAGAGATATTTTCTGGCCATTATTTCTTGAAATTAAATTTCCTCTGTGTTTTGTTTCATGCTAACATTTCAGTTGTCCATATATCACGTTCCTTGCCTCATCGGTTTCTGAATCTCTGCTCATTTTTACATGATTCTTTCTATTTTCTCTTCAGTGTGGATAGTTTACATTGCTTTACTTTCAAGTTTACCCCTTTCATCCTGACATTTTTCATATGTTGGCTTTTCATTACAGATATTCTTTTCAGAACCTGAATTGACATTTGTTTTTCTTTATTTGTCCATGTTTGTAATTTCTTGTTGAGATCTCATTTACTAACCACTATGAGCACCTTTTACATATGTACTCTTAGTGATGACTTTAAAGTGTTTATTCCTTAATTCTAAAAACTGGCTTAGCTCAAAGATTCTTTCCACTGCCTGGGTGATTTACTTGATTGTGGGCCAAAATTCTCTTCTCCTTTGCATATCCATGCATTTGTTGTTATGTATTGAATACTGTAGATAGCACATTATGAAATATGGTGTTTAAACAACACAATGTTGAGTTTTTTCTTTGGCAAAGAGCTAACATGCATTTGGTTTTGTCATCCTTATTTAAATATTTTGCTGAGTCACATCTGTTTTGGTTGGTGTAGTATTCATTTTAGACAATGACTTTTACTCTTAGGGTTTGATTTTATGGAATTTCATTCAAATGCCAGAAGTGCTCTGCTCCCTCTCTTTTCTAGTTTTGCCATAACTCCTGTGTTATATAACTGCTACACTGGTGAAAACAACTACCATTCCATTCTCAACCTGAAGCTGACAATATCTACCCAGCCCTGCAAGCACATCCCATGACTTGCCAAAAATGTATAGTAAATTCCTTGTAGGCATCAGACACCCACCTAATACCTGGCTCCCTGTGAGCTACAGCCTGCAACTAACTGTAGCTCCGTGGCACTACCTCCTCAGCTCAGTGATGCAAACCGGGTTCCACCAGATTGTACAGCAGCAGGAAATCACCTTCAGGCAGGTAGTTTCTTTTTTCTCAAGGATCAATGTCTTATACTGCCTCTTGTTCAATACTTGAGCTCAGCTGCTTCATGTTTTATGCCTGACTTTATATTTAGCAGTAGAGAAGTTTAGTACTAGATGTGCTGTCATAAGAACTAGTTGTCCTTATGATTTGACTTTTCATTCAGATCATTCGAAGTGCTACTCTATTACAAGCATGTAGGTAGGATTTGGTGCTATTTTTTTCTGTGCACCCACCCCATCTGTTGTTTTAAGATGTTGACATTATTTACAAGCTAATTTGAACTTGTAACTCATAGAATCATGAACTCATACAAACACGTCTTCTTCACATCATTTTATCTCGCATACAATGTATTTCAAAGATTTGGTAGATAGATGCTGAATCCTTTTGGCATTCTCTGAAATTGCAGTTGAAATAACATTTCTTCATTTCTACCATTTACTTCTAGATTTTAAATGCAGTATAAGGAGAGACATCTTCAAGTATTGTACTAGAAATTCTACTGTTACTAAAATGATTGAAAAATTACTAATGAAATCATTAGGATGATTTGCACAACATTGCTTAATTTCCTTCTCTTGGAATGAACCCAGTTGAAGTTGCTTGCTAATAATACCACTGAGAAGTCTCTGGGTAAAAGGACATTTTTCCTACAGATAATGGCAATGACATTTTAGGTCATTATAGTGTGACATATAAATGAATAAATATATATATGCATATATATATGTGGGTGTGTATATACACATATATGGGTATGTATTTGTGTATGTGCTTAGCACAGTAAAAATAGCAAATATTATCAGCTCAATCTCAAGCTATGATAATTTTACCAAATAAAATATATATACTGTAGTATTTTATTTAGTTTGACAAAATTGGACTTAATAAATGTTTTTAGAAATTGTTCCTTTTTATCAGAAATAACCATTAGTATAATAATATGCAATTTGGAAGTAAGTGAAAACTTTTGAAAATAATTTTAGCAGATTTCTCAAGCTAGCTACTCTCACTGACAATCGAATGATTCTTTCAGATTCACATTTGGATATGAATTAATCATATTATACATACCTCTATGTTGTCTGGCCATGTACTTTCCCATTTTCGGGGTAGAGAAGAATCTTTAAAGAACATTAGAGAAGGATCTACGGTATCAATATTTCCACTTCTTTTATTCTCATCTTTTGGCATGAAGTCAGTTGTGGAGGATGAATATACGTGAGAAATATTCGTTTCAAATCTTATAGGGTAGTGACGATTTTGATTTTTCAATTCTTTTTGTGGCTTAATTTTATCCAAATTAGTGCAGGATGGATTTGCAATGCTGAATCTGGAACCATCAGTACCATGATATGTTCTTATTGAGTTTCCCCAAGGGCTTTTTTTATTAATCACTTCTGGTTTGGGTAGCACAGAAGGATTAAAACCAACAGCTGAATTCTTCCCACTTTGATTCCAAGAGCGTTCTGGGCTGTTAGAAGGAAATTCATTCAAGGATGTTTGGTGCATTTCAGCCAATGAATGTGCTTCTGAGCCCCAGTTTAGTGCGCTGGGCACAAAAAAGTTGTTTTCTTTGGTTGCACTCTGATAGAGTGGGACTTTATTACCGATCTCTTTGACTAGCTGATCAAAACCCAGACTGACTTGCCTAGGAGAAAAGGACTGATTTACAGAGTGAAATTCTCCGTGTTCATATTGTCGTTCATGTGGTTCATTGGGATTTGGATCTGATTGCCAACTGTATGCCATTCTTTATTTTATGTAACTGAGATGATTGACTTGACTCCAGACAGCTCCTTGATGGTAGTATAAAAGGATAGAACTTTTCCTAGAAAAAAAAGGACATAAAAGAAAACAAAAAATCTTTAATTAACAATAAAGAAATATGGGGCTGGGGTTTAGCTCAGCAGTACAGCAGCTGCCTGGCAAGTGCAAGATAGTGAGTTCAATTCCTGGTACTGGAACCCCCCCCCCCAAAAAAAAAACTAAACCAAAAAACAATAAAGAAATATGTAATATATATGTATCTTGAAGTTTTCCTTTGGCAAATAGAATGATTTCTTGAGTACTATAACACTACATAAAGTTTCATAATGTTCCAGATCTGAGGGAGAGTACTGACTTTGGAAGAACTCATGGAAATTCCTGTAATAGAAAAAGAAGCCCACTGCAATTATGACGAGTGTTTCACAAATCTATCAGAACTCAATATTCCTCTTTCAACTGCCTTTTCTACTGAATATTCACTTGCCTATGACATCAGTAAGTTGTTCTGCAATCAGTGATCTATCAGTGTAGCATGAGAATGTCTTGTCTTAGTAAACTGTATAGCCATCTTGATTAAAAACTTCCTTATCAATAGCCATAATCTTAACTTTCTATTCCCCTCTATACCCAATCATCTAAAAATGGTTGGCTGAACCTTCTTCTCCCCAAAAGACTTAAATAATTGCAAAGTCTTTCATTTACATTTTAAAAACTATTTTCATTATGTTTGTCAATGAGCTTTCTGTCTTTAAATTCAAGTAATATTTTTAGTCTTTAAATATTTTTTCTGTGAGCATTTTATTCTTTTGATGGCACTTCTTATGTTAAGTCTTTTGGACACTGTACTCTTTAAATTTCTCTTTGTTTTTTCTCAAGCACTCCTTTACTTAATATTGTCTACATGATCCCTCTCAGAGCTTAATTTCTTCTCAGTTATTCTTATTGTATGTTGTTTTATACCTTTTGTGGTTTAAATTACCATCTACTTGTCAATTGCTCCAACCTGGGTTACTTTTAGTACCTAGTAACTACATGCATTTGTTGTTTTTTTTTATATCTCCAACTGAAAGTTAAAAACTTAAATCATAATTTCACCCAAGAACATGCTGCTATACCTGTGTCCTCTGTGTCAGAAAATGGTCCGAACTTCCTGGCAGTTACTCCAGCTGGAAACTAAGATTTCACCTGGAGACACTTCCTCACTCTCATTGTGCTATATGGATGGATCCACCAGTCCGTTTAGAGTGCACCAAACAAACACAACTGGCCTCTCTTTCCCCTTTCTGTCCAGTTTATATCTTTCATGTTTTTAATCTGAAATGTTGGATTGTTCCTGAAACTACTTCTATATTTTCCGCAATCTATTTTTTTGTATTCTATTACTCATTTTCGCACTGTCATGTCATATTTATGACCTTAACCAATTGTCTCCTCTGGTATGGCTTTTCAGTGCTTCTGCAGTGTCTTAGGATAACACTTGTAATTCTCAGGTGACTTGGGAGTTCCTCAGTGACCTGGCCACATTCTCTCTGCTTGGTTTATGCTACTTAACCTCATTCTCTGCTGAATCTCCTGACCACCTGGCTCCTCAGAAAGGTTTGCTCTTTCATAGTGGACAGCATATGTCCAGGGTCTTATCCTGCATCACTATCTTACTTTTTACTGAAAATTCTCTTCCATTATTTAACATTTACTTGAAAGATGAATTCTTCAAAGAAACTTTTCGGCAATTCCCAAACTATGTTAAAAATTGTTTTACAAGGCATTTTCTATACTTTATACTTGCTGCTTGCTAATCATCACACTTGTCATTACATGTGTACCATTTCTTTTTTCCATTATCATACTGTTTGCTTTTTTTCACATATAGCTCATTACCTACTAGTTTTCTTCATTTAGAGTAGATGCTCTTTTGTATTTGTCAAGTGTTTCAATAGCTTAAAAATTATAAATGAATGATGAGAAAATGAAATTGAAAAATATGTATATTACTTTCATGCATGTATTACAGCACCTACCAGGAATGAATGTCTATGTTAAAGATAAAACTTTTAAAGGATAATTTGGTCATGACTGTCAAATACAAATCAGTCAATCTTTTTTTACAGTGGAAATTCATTTTACTATATTGGCATTTGTAATTTTTAAAATACGTAATCATTTATGGATTAAATGAATTGGATTTATTGTTACTATTATTATTATTATTATTATTTTGTGGTACTGGAGGCTGAATACAGGGTCTTCACATTGAGCTGCATTTCCAGCCTATTTTAATGTTCAGAGACAGAGTATTGTTAAGTCGCTAAGTTGCTCAGGCTGGGCTGATATTTGGGATTCTCCTGCCTCAGCCTCCTAGAGTGCTGGGATAATTGGCAGATATCACCATTCCTGGCTGGATTTATTATATTTTGAATATTTAGTAGAGAAATTGAACTAAATAGGGTAAATTTTTTAAGAGATTTGTGTAAAATGTATGCAGAGTGAAGGATTAACCAGAAAAATGAATCTTAAAATATTATTTGACAATATTCTAATAATTGAGTTACATAAATATACAGCACAAATTGTTTTTTCAGGAACTGTTTCTTTTTTTATCTCTGTGTAGTGGAAATTTTGTTTCCTTAAAACAAATTAAACTTCTTTGTTTTTCTCTCACATAACTCAGAACTTTTAAGTGGGTGTTGATAGGGCAAGACAGACTCCATTTTCTTTTTGTGACTGCAGTTTAAAAGTCACTTAAGGGACTGGGGATTTAGCTCAGCGGCAAAGTGCCTGCCTGGCAAGCGCAAGGTCGTGAGTTCGTTCCGGGTACCGGAGAAAAACCAAAAATAAATAAATAAATAAATAAAAGTCACTTAAATTCGCTTAAACTGTAGTTGAACTCACTCCTTCACCACCACCCCCATAGCAACCATAAAACCCATTAATGAAAAACAGAGTCATAAAATGAGGAGCAAATAGTTACAGCAAATTGAGAAGTAGGCTAAACACTAAATCACTATGTCTTCCCAAGGTCCACCTGACCAGTACCTGACTGGGAAATGTAAACTTTGTGGCAATTATGTGACATTCTTATAAAATTTCCAAAAATGAGCTAATATAGTTGGACGGATGATATGGAAAACTGAAAGATACTTAAGCTGGAAGCAAACTCCATTCCCGGCTGACATCTTCCCTGGTTTCTTGTCAGGTGAGTCAGATGCTGACTCAATAAAGTTTTATTTGTTCCTATATTTTGTCTCTTGTGAGGGCTTTTCTCACTGAATCTCGACATAACAATGTGACTTTAATTCTGACAACCAGATCCAATATCCTATTCCATTTTTCCTTATTTGACCTGTTCCTCTTTCTGTTATGATGGTAAATGTAGTTATATGAAAATTTTCAGCATTTTTGATAGTTTCTAACCTTAATTTTTGTGATTTAAATTTTTTTAAATTTTGCAGAGTCACCAGTGTGGTTTTAAAATAGGGAATGAGTGGTCTAATACTGAAATTAAAGATTTCTTTAAGCTGGGTCACCTTGTATTAATAATAGTGATGATAAAAATGCCTAATATTTTTGAGCCCTTACTCTGTGCTAATGCTCTGTCTATGCATGCACATATTTGTGTGTATTATTCCTCACATCAACCTATCAGATCCATTATAATATTACCACAACTAAACAAATGAAAACACTGGAGCACAAAATGATGAGCTGGCTTATCTGAGATGTCACAATTTGTATTTCACAGATTTATCTGAAATGGATATTTTTAAAAAGTCACAAAGATGATCATCCCACACCAATATGCTATCCAGTGCATGTCTGGATTTGAGAATTCAGTATAATATTAACTTACTTCAACTCTCTGTACAGCAAAAAGTGAAAAACTTAAAATTTTATTAGTAAAAGTTTCTTTTTTAGCACTACTTACTCAAATTCAAAATGAGTTTGAAGCCTATATCAAAAAATGTCATTATCACAAGATAAAGGAGAGTAAGAAATACTTTTTCCATATTGCAAATGTAATAAAAAAACTTCTTCCACACACTATTTTTAATATTAAATTGGGTTACTTTAAGGCATTTCTTATAATTATAAATCTATACCATCATAATCTAAAAGCTGGAACTTTTTAGTTTACAAAAAAATTATTTAAGGCCATGTGGTAAATATTTTTACTTTGCATTATGAATGAATGTATTAAGTAATTAAAAGTCATATACCTTTATTCTGAAGCAGGAACACATGTAGTTTAGTAGCAATTATGGCATATTTCAAAGAGTATGGCTATCAGTCTCCAAGTTAAATAAGATCTGCAAAACTATAGAAAATATGTACAGTATACGGAATCATGCCTTGCCAAATATTTTCAGGTTTTAATCTCCGAATACTGAATTTTAACAGCTATGTGGCAAAGAGAATTTCAGGTTACAGGGGAATTTTCTAATCAGCTGATCTTAAAAATAGAGAAGATTTTTGGTTGAGCCAATCATAAGGGCAGGTAGGTAGCTGAAATGATCAAATAGATGGAGTGCTTAAAAAATATTGTATGTTTAAATTTTAAAAAGCTATACAGAAAAAGACGCATTGTCATTAATCTCCCTCAAAATTCTTTCCCTCACTTTGAACACATTTACCATATGTTCTTGCTACTTTCTGAAACATTTCTGGAAGTCCTCTTTCATGAGTGTCTTTCGCAGGTGGACTAAAAATATACAGTGAAGGCTACTATCAAGTGCCGTTGAAGGAAAAGGCAGGCTTATAAAACATTATAGTAGGGTGTCCTCATCCATCTTATTCACTGGATCTGGCATGGTGCAACTATGGGAACTTCCCTAATGTCAAAATGATCACGACAGGTAAATGCTTTTCATCAATTCAGACATCAAATCAGCTGTGAAAGTGCACCTAGAGACCCACAGAAGAGGATTTCCAGAACCGCTTCTAAGCCAGTATAGTAGCACAAGCCTGTAATGCCAGCACTGTGAGTTCCAGACCAGTCTGGGCTACACAGGCAGTTCAGGGCCAGCCAGAACTACAGAAGGAGACCCCCTGTCACAAACGAGCCCT